GTTAATTTTTCCTAACTGATTGAGCCAATGGCAAAACCATAATCCTATTCTAAATATTCTCCAGGCATGAAAAGGAATGTTATGTATATCAGTTCAGAAATTTAACTGCAGTGAAGCAAATGGCTTACTACCGGAAAAGGAAAATCCCTGGTTCAAACACAAGTAATAAGAATTTTCTGCTGTTTTTCTTGTGAGCATAACATTCATTTATATGAAAACTCTCATATATCTTAGGTAATAACTACTTTAAGTGGAAAATAAGTTGTGAAAACAGCTAAAGAAGAAGGGGATTTATATGTTGAATCTGACATATTAGATCATCTTTCCAAAAGGAAATCTCTCTTAATTGGGGCAATCAAAATTAATTCATGCATATTTCTGTCAAAGAATCTTTGAATGGTATCTTAATTGATTTTTTTCAAGTGAATCTTTTGCAAATCTGGGGTTGTGCTTCATGAACTGGCTTCCTGGATAGCATGCAGAGATTAGACCACAAAGTAGCTTGAAATCAGAAACATCTGAGCACAGCTTGTGACTGTTTCTTACTTAAACTTTCAATTTTAAGTTTAAGGTTTATAGAGCCTATCACATGAATTAAGAATGACAATATCTACTCCTTGAGATTGATTTAAATGTCAAATTATATAAAACATACAAACACTCAACAGTCTGATATGTAGTAGGTACTCAATTTAAGAGTTGTTATAAGTAGGACAACTTCAAGTTTGGAAAACTAGTTGTCTTTTTCTCAACTATATTAATCTATTCAGTGTATAAATAAACTATTATTTTCTTTATAATACAATCTAGACACCAAAAGATTAATCACTTCTTAAGAAGCCTATGGGCTTATACTTTGCTAACCCTTATTTAAACACAACTTTCAACATCGTACTAATGTAATGTATCTCAGTCTTGTCACCCCTACTGGATCATAAACTCCATGGGAACAGGAATCACATTTATTTTGGTCCTCTCATTTGGCAAGGAACTTAATGTATAAGGTTGCACATAATTGATGCCCAACAGTCATTTAAATACTGACAGACAACCTATAGGAGTAAATAAAAAGTATTAACTGATACACTTCAATTTTATCCAATTTTAATGCTTTTTATTATGCTAATAAAACATAATATCGAGTATAGTACCTGTACCAGAGAAATTGCTAGAGTCATTTATTAAATAATTTTCATTTGCAGAGTACAAAGTGCCACTATTGGTAGAAAACTTCTATACTATTTTCAACTTCAAGTTCTGGCAGGCTTTAAATATGTATGAGTTATTTGTTTGTTTTTCTTTTTTTCAGTAGTATTCCATGCTCTATTTCTGTAATGAATACAGCTTTCATTCCTTCTGTATTCTATATTGACAAATGTGAGGCTACTTGCCCGTATTTACTTGTTTCCCTGTCAGTGCTCTGGGAGCTTTCGTAGTCATCTGCAGACATGTGCAGAGCAACAGAACATGTGGGTTGCCTTGCCCAGTTTCCCAGCTAATGCCAAAAAAAATCAACACTGTGCTCCTTATTTCAGCTCTTATTATAGAAACAAGTATCTTTTCCACAAGCTAGTCAGCACTATATTTTTTGGCATTTTTTGTGCTTTTTGTTGGTGATATCATTGTTTAAATTTACTCCCCATCACTGAACCCAGCCCCCCAAATATAGTACTGAAGTGTTGCTGTCTTCTGTTAGTGCAGGAAGGCTGTGATGGGTCTTCTGGAGAAAATATATGTGTTAGATACATTTCACTCAAGCATGAGTTATTGTGTTATTTCTCATAAGTTCAGGGTAACATAAAATATATAAACATACACAGTATCGAATGGATGAATATGCACTTTTTTACTGTAAAATGTATTTGTCCCCAAAGATCTCATCACACTTCAATTTGCCTCTCATTTTGCAGCAACCAATCATTATAGGGCAAGGGCACACACTGCTCCTAACCTTAAGTGACTCCTGTGTTAACCACTCATTATGGATAGGTTTTGCCTAGCCAATATTGAAAAGGAGTCTAAAATAAAAGAAAGTGAGTATTGTTAAAAAAAAAAAAGTAGGAATACTACACATGCAAGAATACTACACATGCAAGAAGAGAGAGAGAACCAGAGAGAGTTCTCTGTTTAATATCCCCCATCCCTATTCCATACACTTCATTTTCTGCTGTGGGCTTTGGATGTGTTTTTTTTATTATTATTATTGAAAATTACAAAACAAGAAGTATTTGAGACTTACTGGGAATAAACACACACACACACACACACACACACACACACAGTGAATTTAGAGGAAAAAGCTCTAAGCTAGGTAAAAGACAATTACTTATATATGGCAAACTGCTGGATTGGTAGCACACATAGAGAGAAGACCAAAATCTATGACTTATTGCTTAAATGTGCCATGGTGTACAGGCAATTCAAGGTTGCTTCCTTGATCATGACCTTCCATCTTAGCACACAGGCTGAGGGAAACAAATGTAATAGATTAAGAACCAGAAAGTAGAAAGCAGATTCACATTTCTCTTTGTCCAGTTTACACCATTAGAGGGTCATTGAAGTACTTAGGATTCAAATTTAATGAAGACCCGGCGACCTCCATAACAAGTATTAAAGAGGGGGCTGTTGTTCGATGGATACGCCCAGTTATGTCTCATTGCTTGGTTGGCGGTTCTGTTTTGCCCAAACTGATGCTGCACAGTAACTATTTCTCTTAAGATGGATGTAAGCCTGGAAATCAGGGACAGTGTGTTAGGTATTAATGGATGGGATGAATAGTTTCTTTTTACTCATACATCATGAACACATTTGTCGGCTCTGAAGACCAAGTGCTAACTTGGCAGTCTGCTTTGGCAACAAAACTTTGTGAGGCAGAAAAGAATGTTGACGGGGTGGTCATATTTCTTAATTCTTTGTCAGCCAGAGTAGTAGTTTCAAGGTTTAAATTTTGTAGTCAGATATGGAAATTTATAGGATACAATGTGAATGCCAAAATAGGCACCAGGAGGTGATATTTTTGCTTCTCTTATCTCTGAGAGTGAAGGCGATCTCAGAATTCAGTGTTTGAAAAAGAATGGGAGGATGAAGCCTTATTATAAAACACAACACTGTAACAAATGAGAAAGTCTGAATTTCAAAGCAAAGAGAGAACATTACTACTACTTGGCCAAAGATGTGACCAATCATGTTTAATTGAAGCTATTATTGCAGCAAGAAGAAATAACAATTTGACTGCTAGGGAGTGTTAATTGTCAGCATTATAATATTTGTGCCATGTGTGCATCCACTCTAGGAATAAAAGAAGCTTATGTAATTATATACTGAAAGATAAAAGTATCAATATAAATCCTGGAAATAATAACATAAAAATATAGCTAGGTAAAGAAAAATATTCTTAACTAGATTCACATGTCTTCCAAGAAAAATGATTTTTATGGAAGTATAGCATGCTCATCACTTTTTTTTCTAATGTCTCTTTAGCAATTCTCTTCATTTTCTCTGTATTACAGTATTTCTTCTTCTTTAATACAGTGGGTTTTTTTTGTTATTTACTATGGTCATATGTTCCAGATTTTATTTTCCTGTGCAATGGGTGTTTTAATCCTTGGGAAAATGACCTTTGAAAAGAAACAGGATTCTTTAAGGATAATAATGAAATATCTGGAAGATTATTTACTTGAAACCAACCATTTGATATATCATTTATAACCATTACTGGGAAGGGGTGGGAAGTACTATCCCACTTTGTCTTAACCAGCAAACCCTAGAACATATGTGGAATTTTTTCCTCATTAGAACATATTACTTGACAAATATCAATTAAGTGTTTCATGTAAATATGAACCTGAGCTAGAAAATGTGAAAAATGCAAATGTAACACATATTTGCACCTGATAACCTTCTAGTGGGAAAGAGACACACTTAAAATATGTATATATTTATACTAGAGTTTAGAAGTATCCTAAGAGTCAGACAGTAAACTGTGAGAGAAATGGAGTCCAGTTGAGGAGATGTTATGCGCTCCATTCAGGGGCTATTTTATAAGGTGGGAAAATGCCTATGTCAGTTAAGGCAGCCTTGGACTAAAGGACAAACAAAGCAGAAAACTTTTAGGATGTATATTCAGAATTCTCCTAATTTGCTTGGAGTCTAGACAAAGTAAACTGAGGACAAGAAAACACGAAGAAGCTAAAAAAGCAAAATCTTTGAACACTGAATCAAAATATCTCAATTTTATTTTTTTATTTTTGATGTTTTTATTATTGTTATTTCTATAAATAATAGTGGGGTTCATTTTTGACATAGTCGCACATGTATGGAAGATACTTTCTGTGCCTAGTATTTCCTCCCTCCTTCCCCGTCTGCCCCATCCCATCATTTACTCCACTGGCTTTTCCTGCATTCATTTATTGTTCTTGCAAATTGGTGCTTTAAGGGTACACACAAAGGTGGAGTTCACCAGGGTACATCCATGCACACAACATAATATGCCATTCTAACTGGAATGAGATAAAAATCTCAATGTAGTTTTCATTTTAATTTCCCTGATTGCTAGGGATGTTGAACATTTTTTCATACATTTGTTGTCCATTTGTATTTCTTCAGTTGAGAAATGTCTTCTGTCCATTTTTTGATTGGATTTTTTGCACAAAAGTCATCTCAAAGTGGATCAAAGACCTATGAATTAGACCAGAAACTTTGTAACTGCTAGATAAACTTTATTTTATAGGCTGTGGATGTCATTGAATATTTTGAGTAAGAAAGCAATCTAATCACAATTATTCTAAGGTTAGCAATTATACTCTGAAATATAGAGGACTGAATAAAGTATAGGATCAATGGTAAGAAGAGGAGGCAATGAACTCCTAAACTAGAATATTTCATTTTTGGATTTCTTTTTTACATATGGATTTTATATTATTTTATTAAAATGAAGTCTTTTTTTATTGGTTGTCTTTATTCTAAACTAGAGTCAACAATTCTTTTCTTTTTTATTTCAGATTTTTCATTATTCATATACTGCTTCATATGTGATTTACAACATACACACAAGGTAAGTTCTTTGAGTTTCTGATTTTCCTAAGCAAATATTCAGCTTAATTGTTGGTGTAGATGTCCACTTGTTCACGTAAAAATATTCACATATTTTCAAGGGAAGTTTGGGAGCTAAATCCTCCAGAAGTAGAGGACTCCGTCTTGCAATATGCAGCCTGGGGTGTCCAAGGGCAGCAGCTGGTAAGAAGAGGCATCGGTATGCACCGAGCCCTATCAATCATTGCTCTATGAAACATGTTTACAGATATCATTTCCTTGTAATATAATCATCCTGTTTCTCTAAACTTCTTTATATCTTTTGAGTATTTTAGCTTAAGAATGATACTAGTATTATTCAACAATTAATTTATAAACAAAAAGGTTTTTCACCTATTGTATAACTAAACCTAGAAGATGTTCAAGGATATTAGGGCCTAGTCCTGGGCAATTTCTATTACCTAATATTGTCAATTTTTATGCAAAACTCAAAGGATTATTTATTTTTAAAACTTTATTCCAAAATTTATAAAAATTGTCTAATATTCTTTGAGAGGTATTTTTTTCACCAACTGCATTTTAAATATAACAAACTTAAAAGATAATTAGTGATATAAAAAGCTTAAATAAAATAATATTCCTACACATGTCTTATGGTGCCCATGTAAAGAATTTCCCAAGGGAACACTGGTCACAGAATAGTCTGGTTACTTATATGGTACATGCATGCTCAAATGTACTAAGCATTACCAAATTGATTTGTAAATTGTCCAAGTGTGTTTATATCTGTCAGCACCCACAAGAGTTCTCTTTTCTCCATATCCTTAACAATACCTATTTTTATCAGATTTTTTAATATTTGTAACTTTATATTTAAATGTTAATATTTGTTACTTTATAATATACCCAATTTAAAATGTATTTGCTTCTTCTATTTGGATGTTAGTGTTTCTGTTTTGTTTTCTAATGTAAACACTAAAGTCTATAGAATACTCCCTATGTTTAATCTTTATTTAAAACATTTGATTGCAATAGTATCTAAATAAGATCTAATTGTAGTAATTTTGAATATCTAGTATTTTTAAGGATTTATTACTGAAATTTTTTAATTTACAAAAATATGAAATTGGTGCTAAAGCTAATTTTTAGTGTTCAGAAATGTCTTTATAATATTGACTTTGAAATTGATGAGACTTGCTTTATGGTTTGGTAGAGGTTATTATACATGTTTCCCATAATTTTCCCATAATTTTATGCTTAAGAAATGCATAAATGAAATATGTATGCATTTCTTAAGCATAGTTTTCTTTATGTACCTATTAGACCAATCTTTATAATTATTCTTCTAGAACTTTTATTTCCTTAGCAATGGTGGTGGATATGTGATTTTTTTTCTTTCTTTAGGGTTCTGTCAATTTTGTATTATTTAATTTCAGCTAATCTTTTATTAAGAGGGAGAGAGTTTTAACCTGACAAATAATCACAGTGAAATTACATTCTTGATACTTTAATCAATATGTATTTAGCCTATTTATCTTAGTAATTTAGTAATTATTGTAGAGAGATACTATGGATTGAACCCAGTGAGGAGCTTTAACCATTGAAATATACCCCAATCTTTTTTAATTTTATCTTTAGACAAGCTCTCACTAAATTGTTCAAGCTGCCCTTAAACTTATGATTATCCTGTCTCAGCCTCGCATGTTGCTGGGATTACAGGAGTGCACCACTGCATGGGGCTATCTTTGGTGATTCTGATTGCACAACCCTTACTCAAGCTGTTATAAGAATCCTTTAATGGAGTTTCTAGATTTTTTTAAAAAATTAGAATTGCTACATACACTACAATTGGGTGGTTGTTATTTATTTATTATTTTCTGTGGGTCTTGATTTATAAAGAGCAATATGTAAACCATCATATCATCATAATTGTTTTGAAAATATAACCATTTCACTTAGTAAGGCATACATAATTTTTATTCTATTTTATAAATTAAAAAAATGTTTTCTTAAGCTTATTGGCAAAATAGGGAAGTGGGGCAATACATTTCTTATCACAAGAGGGGCATAGAATGATATACTGTTATTATTAAATGCTTATTTTCATTGGAAAATATTCTGGATCCTGAAATAATCTGAAAGTACCTAAGCCTCAGATGTGGTCTCTCTGAGTGTTTAGTCACATAACCTTGGGTAAGTTATTTTTCCTCTTGGTAGCCAATCTGCATCCGCAGTAAAATGAGATCATTTGAAATATTATACTGGTCTAATTTGATAAAGTTCAAAAAAATTTTATAGTCATTGGTTAAAAAACATGGCAGAATATGCAAGATTGGAAGTGAATTGAGGAGTAATGTACTATAACATTTTTGTTCATTTTTCAAAGTTATAGCTTATACTCTGAATATTAGATTAGTGTTTGATATAGGAAATAGTTTTGACCTAGAGACTTTTCATTTTTTCTTGGTGGAGACATTCCTTTAATGTTTAATCTTAGTGTTAAATAGAATATTAAAATTAACACCTACTTATAATGTAAAAAAGAATCAATCATAAAATAAATTATGGCTATCCCTGGTATTAAATTTGCCCCATATTTAATATATTTGTATGTGCTTAGACCAAAGGAACATTTAAAAATTGTAGCTCCTTTAAAATATTGAAAAATGCATATACACAGTTTATAGACATTATATTTGAAGTCATTTCAAAGTTTATGGTTGTGTTTTATAAAAAAAAATCTACAGAAATCCTGTATTCACTATCATTTCAACACTAAATGAATGCATAGTTGAATAAATAATTATGAATAAACGTCAATGATATAAAATGAAAACATAAACACAATGGTTTTGATACTATATAGTATAGGTCATGTTTGCCTTTATCATTTGTATATACATTTAGAGAAAATTGAAAAGAATATATTCAATATACATCTGGAGGACTCTCTCTCAAGTCTGTACATCATAATATTCCTGCAAAGTGTCATTAGAGGTCATAGCAGTTCAACTAGATGTGATGATGCATATTTGATTCAGAGAAGTCAGGCAATCAGTGTGTTCTGGGACAGTGGTGAGTGGGACATACAATATAGGTAGGAGCTCTCATTCTACCAGCCTTACTCTATCTAGTTCTATGAACAGTAGAGCCGACCCATTGGGCCAGGCAAATTCAAAGTTAAAAAAATTCCAGAACCCAGAAACCAATACAATTTCACTTTCCTATTAATAGAGAGTCCTTTGGAAATATTTAAAACTTTAGCTAGATTTAAATGACTTTTATTCTCCAAGCCTGAGAGAAACACACACCTATGCCAAAATAGTTGCATTATTAGTGATTGTTTTTGATTCTGTATATTTTTATATATTCAAGAAAACTACAGAAAGTGCTGAAAATACAAAAACTCTAGGTCTTTCCATAATATTGCAAGTAAATGGATTTTGACTTCAGTGATTGCTAGCTATCAAAATTGAGAATTCCTTAATCTTTAAAGTTGAGATGATAGCCTTACTTTACTAATAATTTTTGGAAGGTTAATGTATTCTTGTAGATCTAAAACACTAAATATATATTTTTTAATTTTTTTCTTTTCATGTATTTTAAAAAAAACTATATGAATTTTAATAGCTTAGGAAATTTTAGTGTCATGTATTGAGGAGTAACAAACCTTAGTTCTTTGTAACTTTATAATGACATTTGCAAAATCCTTTGGGAAACTTGGGGAAGAAATCAGTGTTTATCAGGGCTTTATTTTGTGTGCATACAAACATGAATTTAATAAAGTAAAACATGTATCTTTATAAATTGCCAATGATATATTTCATGTGAGTATGATGGGCTTTGTCAATATTCATAGTCACCAAAAAACACAGTATGATTTTATTAGAGATGAGTCACTACAATACTTTAAACAGTTTCACATTAAATAAATTGAAGAGTTCTATAGTGTTTGCTAACTAGAGATAATTAATTTCTTATTCTTAATTTTCAGTTTCTACTCTTAACTTTCTATTAAAAAGATCCTAGTGGTAAGAAATCCTGGTGGTAAGAGAAGAATTGTGAAGGATTCACATAATTTCTGATTTAAAAAAAGGCTTAAGTAAGAATTCAAATGACTTAATAGAATTTCCTGTGAAATGTAAAGGAAAGCAATTTTGATGGGGTATATTAAGTGGGGCAAAATAATCTGAAGAAATATGAAAAAACATGCATTATTCAGAGAAGATAGTAAGTAGACACATTAGCTGTAGCAAATGTTTTATAAAAAGAAATGTTTTGGGAGAGGATACTAGTCAGATGTGGAGTAGAAGTACCAGAAATCTGTCTCCCCTGCTAGGTAGCATTTATACCAGTAGACACATTATTATTGAAGTCTCTAGAATCTATTTGAAGTTTCCAACTTCCATGCAAAGGCTTGAATGTAATTTGTAGTTAATTTCAGTTTATTTCTGATCTCAGCTCAGCACTTGCTATATTTTACCAACCCTGTCTTGTGGCAGCTGTTCCTGAGATACCCAGCTCCTGGAAACCAGGGTTGACAACAAGGTTCATACAATCCAAATACTGGACATTTGTGTTCTTTGTGTTCACTTAAGATAGAATTACAGACACAGGTCCAAGCACCCATTTTCTCAATCTCTTCACCACCATTACTGCATGCCCATCTTCTCTTCCCCTCTTCAATTTCCACTTTTTCCCATTTTAGAAGCCATTCATTAAGTAGGTTGGCAATCAAAAGCAACTCAATATATGAGAAAATATAGAGAAAAACTGGAAAAAAAACACTGGAAAATATGAGAAAGTCACTGTGCATGCATAAGGAAAGATAAGATCTGAGAAAACCTTAAGTTCATACTGATGATAATTTTTTGCATGTGTAAAGCCTGTAATAAATAAACAAATAAGTAAATACAAATAAAATAAAAATAGCAGCAAACCATGGGTAAAAAGTATCTGATTTCTGTAGATATTAAATTGTAAGATCAAATGTCCATTTCTCTGTAAAAAGTCTCAAAGAATAAGCAACTGGGAAATACAATCTTAGGGAAAAAAAATGACAAAATTGCTAATTGAGATCAGGTTTTAGACCTACTAAATGAAGACTAAAATTGTCATCTTAAAGATATCCAAAGTAACAGAAGGTGTGGAGACACCAGAAAGCATGATTAACAAGATACAAATGTCAATGAAAAGATAAAGAG